CCCCCCCCCCCCCCCCCCCCCCCCCCCCCCCCCCCGCCGAGGCAGCCCTCCACCAACGTGCGGTATAGAGCCAGCAAGTCCAGCGGATGAAGCCAACAGCGCGATGGCCAACGCCGGAGCAGACGGCACCTGCGAGACGCTCGCCGTGAAAAAAGGCTGACAATTCGTGGTTAGTGTCGGTATATCTTTAGAAACTGTATCTCTTTCTACACTTATATGCGTGATGCTTTGAGATATTGAAGATTTATTAATGTCATCTTTGTTGTTTTTTGTATTTGAAATTCAGGTTTGTGAAGATAATATTTGGGTTTGGGGGGAATTTGAGCGGTTGTGGCACGCGACAGACAGCAGGCCTATCCTGTGAGCTCATGTCGACGATGCCTGCGTCTGGCTGCCCAACTGCCCAACTTGGACTGGACTGTGCCTGTGTCTGTGTCTGTGTCTGTGTCTGTCTGCCTGCCTGTCTGTCTCTCTGTCTCTCTGTCTCTCTGTCTGTAAATTTGGTTGCAAGACCACGTGCCTCTTGGTCTGGCACCCATTTCTCTGCTTCCCTCTCTTTCTCTTGCTCTCTTGCTCTGTCTGTCTCTGTCTGTTCGTGTGTCCCTTTTGTGAGTCTGAATTGTCTGTTTTTCTAGCCCCTCTGACCCGTATGTCACGCTGTCTCACCAACTCTCTATCTTATCTGCCCATGTTGTCCTGGTCTCCGACGCGGACCGATCGGAGGAAGCAGGGAGGACATGCACTTCAAGTGCAAAACCAGAGTCAAAGTGGCTGAAACCAGTCCAGGCAAGGCGAGTAGATTGATGTCGATGCAGATGCCGAACCAGCAGCATGCAATCAGGCCTCGAGTCTTTCTCAAAGAGAATGGTTGAAGGGGAAGCGTGCGGGAGCCGGCCCGCAGCTGGCAGGGTCAAGGCTAGTTGCCATCCCAGGCACGGAGGCGTTCGTGACCGACGCAGACGATGGTCAGGGCGTGGGAAAGAAGGGCAGCGGCCTCGAGGATCCAGGCGGGAAGATGAGAGTGCAGGGCCAAGAGTCCAGCTTGACTGAGTTGGGCCAAGCCCAGATAGAGAAGCCGCCAATCGTGGCGAATGTGGACAAAGACATGACGGCGCGTCAGGTGTTTGTACAAAAAGGCTAGGCCCAGCGCCGTCATGGAGAGAACTTGTAGCCGACCAAGAAACTGAATTCGAAAGCGTGCGCTGCGTCCACGCACAAGGAGATAGAACGCCCACGCAGCAATGGCCAACACCTCGGCTGCATCCAAGAACCAGAGGCCAACGGTTAGATGGGAGAAGAGCAGGTTGGTCATACGCAGTCGCACTGCCTGCAGTGCACCTGTACGGGGCGAAGCAACAGATCGGGTGAGCAACAGGGGTCAGAAAACAAAAAAAAAAAAAAAAAAAAAAAAAACGAGGCAAGCCAAGTATTTGTCGTGGAGCACCAAGTGTCTGGCACAGCTGTGCCTTGGCCATCGCAGCCGACAAGAGTGCGCAAAGCGTGGGTGGGCGTCTGAACATGCAGGGTACAACACAAACCGAGGAGAACCAGTGTCAGGCCATTGGCATAGACGTGGCCGTTGGGCAAGTACTTGAACTTGTGCTGATGCTCGCTGATCAGCAAGACGCGACCAATGTTGAGGTGGTAGGCAATGAGCAGGCCCACTAACACAGTCGTCCAAGCGCTGGGCTGAAAGATCAAAACGCCAACCCCCAGGACCACAGCCGAGAGGAAGTGGACAATGTACGTTGCGGTCCGATTTTGTCGGAGGGTGCCGTCGGCATTGTGCGTCACCGACCCCAGCGTATCAATCAGCTCGGGCGCCGACATGATCGGGATACTTGAGACAACTCTGGGCCGAAGATGGATGAGGCGCTCCGTGCTACTCGAATCAAAAACGCATTCACGTGAGACATTGGCAAAGATGCATGGCGCAACCAAACCCAAAGGCACCCAAAGGCACCCAACGGCACCCAACGGCACGCAAAAGCACGCAAAGCAAAGCACCATCCAGTCAAGACCAGCTCACCTCGCCAGCGACGACGTCAGTCACTAAAATCAGAACCCTGAAAACGTCTGACAAATGTGAGTCTCTTCTGGATCTCTCTTCTCTCTTTCAGAAAGAGTCTGACCAAACCAATTCTCTCCCTCTCTCTCTTGATCTCTCTTGATCTCTGGATACATTATCTCGATCTCTTGATCTCTCTCTCGTCTCTCTCTTCTCTCTCGTCTCTCTCTCTCTTGATCTCTCTTGATCTCTCTTGATCTCTCTCTCTCTCTCTTTCTCTCTCTCTCGTCTCGTCTCTCTTCTCTCTCTTCTCGCTTTTCTCTCTCTCTCTCTCTCCCTCGCTCTTTCAGTTTCGAATTTTGTCATCAACAGGTGTTGTCAACCATCGCCGCCGCGAGCGAGCCGTTCAGGGCGCAGCAGACGACACATCGCACTGGCACCAGCTCCCGTCTCGCCGGCTGTGGGGTAACATGCCTCTTTGAGACGGGATGATATGGGCACAGGGAATCCTTGGTCATGTGGCGTCCTTTTCGCTGTCTCAACGTTTGAGGATTTCGTCTTCTTCGCCTCTGGCTCCTTTTTCCCGTTCTTCTTCTGAGCTTGACCGAAACAGCCGAGGGTCCCCAATCCAGCGACCCTCCAAGCGCTTCCACCTTGTTCCTTCTGTGTTGATCGACTTCGCTTCCTTTCAATGCACTCACCACACGCATCTCGTTCGCCGCCTTTCCGCTTGAACAGGCGCAAGTGCAACCCCTCGCCGCCTCGACCGCCAACATGGCATCGGAGGAGGACAATGCTCAGCTCATTGCTGCACAGGCGCACGAGGCCTTTGAAAAGCACGAATATGACCGCTGCCTCAAGCTCACCGAGCAACTCGAGCAAGCTTACAAGGGCAAACCCGTGCAACTTCTCAAGGTTCTTCAGAACGACCCCCAAACCCCTGAACGCCGTTGCTGCAACTGCCATCATACCCCTGCTCTCTCACCCTGGCCCTTGTGTATCGACTTGGCCCTCCCCATTTAGCTTGAGCTCAACCGAGCCGTCGCTGCCTTTGCGCGCAACCCGCAAGGCGATGATACTAAACTGATCGAGGCCCTTAAAGATCTGGATACTAAGGTCCCCCATCCCGCACAGGCTGCCTCATCCACGCCCACTTTTGGGGTGGACCTCCTTGCTTCTTGCACAACTTCTTCTTACCTGTGCTACAACGTCGTAGGCTCAAGCCGCCGAGTCGGAGACAGGCAAGGACTTGCGCGATCTCCGTGGCCTCATCGCCTACAACGAAAGCGTACTACATCAAAGGGTCAGTCTGACCCCCAAAACCCGTGCTTTTGCGTTGTTGTTGTTGTTGTTAGTTGTTTGTTTGGTTTTTTTTTTTTTTTTTTTTTTCAAGACACACGAAGCAACCCCCCTCCTGTCCTGCTCACCCCGACCTGTCCTCTTTTTTCTTCACCAGCATAAGCGGTTTGATCAAGCCCAGACCCGCCTCGCTACCGTGGCCCCAGACGTCCGCCTCGCCGGTGTGTGCGCCCAGCCGTCCCCCCCCGCCCCCGCCTTTTGTCCTGCCGCTTGATGCCCGCTTGCATCAGACTACACATTCTAATATCTGACGCACCTGCGTCGCACCCGTAGACGAGACAACCACTGCACTGCGCGCGATGCTTTTGATCGACATTCTCATTCAACAGGGCCAGGTACGAGCGCAAATCCTTCAAGCCCATCGCTGCCGAGCCCATGGGCTTGCTCATCCAAACCCCCATGTCTGCTTGCACTAGCCGGAACAAGCACGACAGGCTCTGGCCCAACTTGAAGCCGCACTACGTCCCAACGACGGTGATGAATCTGCGACGAGCAAAGGCAACACCTCCTCTGGACCCGAGACAACTGATGCGGGCACTGACCTTGCCACGGGTATGCAGCGCATGCCTTTACCCCCGATATCCAACGCCCGCCACCGTACAATTGCGCCCTTGTGCGCTACATGGCTAGCCAACATGTGCTGATAGACACTCACCCACCACCGACCATCACAATCCATTCGTGACCCAGGCACTGTGGACCAGGACTTGGAGGCACTGCATAACAAACTCTCCCAGCTCCGCGCACGCCTGCACCTCTTGACCCGCAACATGAAAGCGTGTAAACGTGAGATCAAGGCAACCCTGAACAGTCAGACCAAGGTACACATTCGTGGCGCACTTGGCACAGCTCGGGCATATCGTGTCCTTTTGTGGAACCGTCACGGTCTTTCTCATACCCACGTCGTCGGCAGAACATCACGGCCCTGGTCTTGCGGGCCTCGTACGAATATCTGCGAGGCAATTGCCGCAAAGCCATCAAATTGCTCAACTCGTGGCCCGTTAAAGATCTGGTACGTGCTCACTACTCAAGCAGTCTAGAAGCGCCCACAAGCGCCATGGCCCCCTCACCGGCCGACGCGCCCGTGGCTCTGTACGATGAGCATAGGAGGCGGCGCGTCTTGATGAGCTTGGCATCACGTATTACAACAACATGGGTTGTGTCCACCTCAAGGTAGCGTGATGACGCGCCCGTGCTTGTACGGCTGGCCCACCCGAACCCTCACAACGACACACATGAAAGCATGGTCATGAAAGAAGAAGAGCAGCGTTATGCCTGGCCCGCTTGACTCATCTACATCGTCAACCGGGGCACAGATGGGCAAGCCTTCGTTGGCACACCTATATTTTGCACAGAGTCAGGACGCGCACCGGCAACGGCAAGCAGCAAACCCACCTCTCCAACCACACGAAGACCATCGCGCTGAACTCGTTTTTAACGAAGGACTTGCCCTCTTCCAGCTGCATCAATATATGGCTGCTCACGAGGTGGGTATCCTTGGCACAGCTCCCCAACCCAGGCCCGGCCATTCTTCTGGTTCCTTTTCTCACTCCTGGCCGATGACGGCGCCCTCTCAGCGCTTTACCATGGTAACGCCGTGGCGTGCCTCATCCCCTCACCACTGGGTGCGGTTGGCTGAATGTTGTATCCATGCCTGCTGTGAGGCCACACGTGCAAGGGCTGCGCCCACGGGTAACACAATGGTGGGTGCTGCTGATCACCGCAAGCTCCTCCACCAGCCTTTTGAGCCAGCACGGTACGTTGACCCACATGCCCGGCATCAGAAGTGTCCGTCAAACGTTGCCGTGCCCCTCATCAAGCGGCCTGCGCTGTCTACTGCCCACCATGCCTCTGGCTGCTGACGCCACCTAGTCTGGCTGAAGCATCAGACGAGCTGTCGCTAGACAATGCCGCCAGCCACCTCACTTGGGCGCTGCACCTGGCCACTGAGCTCCAGAATAGTTTGGCAAACAAAGGTGCGCTGTGTTGTTGGGATTATTCGCCTGTGCAATGGCTACCCTGTTGTATCAGAACAAGCGATAGGCAACAGGAAGGGGAAGAAGCATGGTGTCCAAGGTGATAGGGCCTATGCTTGGTTCGGGGCAAAGGTGGTTGACCTTGGGAACCAACGTCAGTATGGAACCACACGGGTCTCATTTGCCCTGACTCGCACTACGTGCAGATGAGCCGAAAATGCCGGCAGCGTATACTTTAGGCACACTACAAGGGCCTTTGGATGCGGGCGAGCTGACCCGACTCATTCTCCATGTTCGTAACACCCAGCAAAATGAGGCAGGGGCAGCTAGAGATAGAGCGAGAGGGAGTGTGTCTCTTATCTCTGTCTCTGTCTCTGTCTCTGTCTCTGTCTCTGTCTCTGTCTCTGTCTCTGTCTCTGTCTCTGTCTCTGTCTCTGTCTCTGTCTCTGTCTCTGCCTCTGCCTCTGTCTCTGTCTCTGTCTCTGTCTCTGTCTCTGTCTCTGTCTCTGTCTCTGTGTGTGCCTCGGTATGCATGCAACGATTTCATCCACGTCCTGCTTACGCTGGATTTTGATGGCACGTGTGTGTTATAGATCCACATGCTCTTGGCCTTTGTGGCAGTGGAGGCTGGCAACTACATGGATGCCGTGTCACATGGTCGGCAAGTGCTCGAGGCGGATGGTGCTTCAAGCGCCGTAAAAGCCCATGCCCATCTCTACATGGCTCAAGCTCTAGCGCAAGCAGGTTTGTTGAAAGTTTTGACCCGCGCACTCGCCCGCCATATACCCCAGCAATGAGTGACTTGGTTCGGCGCTTGCGCCGACCTTGCTCAACTTGGTCGTCCTCTGGCGCAGATCGGCTAGAGGAGGCTCTTGCACACGTGGATCCGGAAAGGCTTGGTGCGTTGCACGCGGAATCCACGAAATTGGCTGCCGATGAGCACGATGATGACGGTGGCGACACCGCTGCTCATGCGACGGGCAGCCAGGAGCAAGCGTACACTGTCCAATCAGAGTTCCCGGCCCAAGCTCTCCTTAGCCTGGCGGCCGTTCACTGCCGGCAACAGGCCTACACGACAGCGCTGACGTGCGTACAAAAGGCCATGGCCCAAATCACCACACCAGCCACTCTGAACCACGCCGTCGGCTTGCTGGTGCATTGCCATTTGGCCCTTGACAAGCCTGATGAGGCCCTGCGTGTGGCCCGCCACCATCTGATGGGTGGTGAACCAGTCATTTACCCCTGAGCTTCTCCGACTAACAGTACAGCCTGATTCTCTTTCCGTGTCCCCTCTTCCTTTGCAATAATTACGACGATGAACCGTGGTTGCCCGACCCATTTTGTGAGCAAGGTTCTGTGCACCCCCTGGTTAAATTTGAGCAGAGTGCCTTACCCTCCTCTCACCCCGTAATCATTTGATCGAGTCAAGACAACATGAAGGTTAAAGGTCGTGACTTCAACCGGAGAGATGAAGAGCTGGATACGCCAAAACAAGGTTGATTAAGAAAGGAAGAGCCGGTGCGGCTTGCTGAAGCCCAACACCGGCGCGACACGGGTAGAGCGGGCATGATGGCCCATGAGCAGGGTGGTAAAAAAAAAACGGAACAGGGAAGGGCCCAGATCAGCACCAGAAACAAGCCTGGCTGCTGATGCGTACGAGGCCAGGGCTATATTACCTGGCACCTCGACCCAACAACGCTAGCAAACCATTGGACAAGAAAAGGCAAGAGCCATCACCAATATACATGGAGCGCTTTCGAGAAGCAAGTTAGTGGTGGGCACCCTCTTCGTAGCCGCTGGGGAGAGCGTTGGCCTCGGGGTTGTGGAAGAGAGAGTGATCACCATCGCCCCAGGGGAACTTGGTGGCGCGCTTGCGCATGTGAGACCAGGGCTTGAACTCGGGGGCGTGCTCGTGCTCGGCCAGGAAGAACGACTTGTAGGCGATGATCACGCAAGCCACCATACCAAGGTACGACACGTTGCGGAAGGTGCCGATGGTCTCTGCAAGGTCGGCCATGAGCAGACATGAGATGGTCGGAGCAATACACGAACTAACCAGGCCTGCTTGAGGCGCCGCGACCCATTCATGTCACGATATCATCGACATGCTGACCCGCAACCAGCCTGTCACCCCTCCCCGCCCTTGAAGTGACCATGCAACCAAAAAAAAAAAGAAGGGGTAGGGGCCCAAGAAGTCCCAGTCTTCACACAGAAAAAGGCCTCACCAGCATGCTGCTTGGACTCGGCGACCTGCTCTTCAAAGGTGGACATGGCACGGCGCATGGGGCCGTTCATCTGGCGCGCGTTGCGCATAGCGGGTCGGAAAAAAAAGCTCATGATGCTTGTTCTGTCAACGTAAGAAGCCAAACAGGCGCAAAAAAAAAGAAAAAAAAAGCGTGAGCCCATCAGTTGAGGCCACAATGTCACATGTTGGATGGAAAGATCAATGCACACGCGCAGACGCGAGCAAAGGCCCCAGAACACCGTGGTGGCCTCGGCGCTGCCGCTCGCCAGGGAGCCATCAACGTCGCATGCCCTGCTTTAAGATCAGGAGGGCACAAGACTTGACAGAATCGACCAATGTCCAACTCCGACCTTGTCTCCCCCATGATCACCAACAAACTCGTATTTCCCCCTTTGAAGACAACCCTCTCACAGCGCTCACGCCACTGGCCGGCGCTGCCGTTTCGTCGGTCTAACTACTCACTCACACACACACACACACACACACACACGAGTTTCATCAGAGACACACACAGACCTTTTGCGATGAACAGGGCAGAGAAAAGAAATGACAATTAATTAAACCAGATTTTTGTCGATCAATTTATTCTTCTTGCTACCTGACCTTTTTGCCTTTGTGTGTGTGTGTGTGTGTGTGTGTGTGTGTGTGTGTGTGTGTGTGTGTGTGTTCTTGGTGATCAGTGACCAATGACTTTCATGTGGTAGCGGCAAGCGCAAAGCCGTTGGGAGGCCAAGGGCAAACCATCCGAAAGGACATGCTCGGATTGAAGGGTGCGCAAGGCTCCAGGATCGGGCACTGCATGTTGCAAAATCAGAATGAGGAAATCAGTGGGCTGTCGACGGACAAATGTCTCTAAATTGTCGTAGAGAGAGAGATGGACAAGTAGCAACAACATGACCCAAGCCAAGATGCAACTGCCAAGGGCGGTTAGGGTCAAAAACTCCAGGCTGGCAGAACGACAAGCAAGGCTTAGGACTGATAAGGGGAGAAAGGCATGACGGAGACAGGGAAACACAGTCTTGTCTTGGACAAGCAAGAGGTCTCAAACACACAGCAGAGAAAAAATAGCCTTATGCAGCAATGGCGGCCAGATAGTCCTTGACCTCGGTTGGCTGGGTAACCATACGCACGCGCACACACACGCACACACATACAACCGTCAGTGGGGCAGCGCAACAGGTGCCAGCCTCGTTGATCAATCAAGACAACCCGAGCCAGCACGATACAAAACACTCACCTCGAGGCGGCGGAAGCCGTCCTTGTTCACGATGCCAATCTCAATGTTGGTCTCTGTCATGACACCCTCAAAGCCTTCCTTGAGAGTTAGGATGGCCGTGTGCACGGCATCTTCCAGCTCGAGCTCCTCGTTGTAACGCTTCTCCAAAAAGGTTTTGGCATTGACCATGTTCTTGCCGATGGCAGCCGCCTTCCAGGCAAAGTAAGAGCCCTGACGAACACGGCGAACCACCACACATACCCGACAAAAAGAGAAGATGAGTACAAGGGACGAGGAGCTGGATCGAATGGGGGCCGTGTCAAACGTGCAGCACCACATTGCCCGCCATAATTTGGTACGCACCGAGGGGTCAATTTGGTACAGGCCCGTGGTTTTGCCATCAGGATTCAGGCCAATCACCAGGAGGGAGACGCCAAAGGGACGCACGCCACTGTCCACAGAACATGAGCACATGCCACAAAGCAGATCCGGTGAGACGGTATGGAATGACGCTGTAGAAGGATGGCGGAGGAAGGAGAAGGAAACAAGAGAAAGAAGGAGAAGGAACTGACCCCTTTTGAGTGTACTCTTGCATGACTTGGGCAATTTGCTGCACGAGACGGCGCACGGGAATGTGCTCGCGGTATGTCAAAAAGTAGGCCTGGGCAAGCTTGCGGGCCTTGGCCAGAAGCACCCTGGTGCACAAGCCCCGACAGCAAAATGCAAAAGCAGCGGAACCAACGTGAGCGGGGTGAACAGGTTCCGTTGGTCCAAACCGGGAAGACCAATAAACGCGGCACATGCTTCAAGAGGAAAGCACACTGAACACAAGAAACGATCGGGTTGACGACTGTTCAACACAGTGGAGCACAAGAAAGTCCACCAGTGCCAAGATACCGACCGTTTGTCCGGGCCCATGCCACTGTAAACCATGCCAGCAGTCTCGGTCAACTTCTCAACCTACAAGACAAAGACGATTGAATAAGTTGAGCGCGTCCCCCGCCTCAGGAGCAGACGCAATATTGTGGTTTAACCTCAAGTCCAGAACAAGCATGCAACCCAGACGGCGGTGCATCTGCTTGGTGAATCGGGAAGCCAGGGGTACCAACCTTGAAGAAACTCTCCGAGTCGACAAGGTGTGATGGGGTCTTCTTCTCGGTGGCAATGACGGCGCCATCAATGGCTGGTTACCAAACACAAGAGCACAACGCGAGCAGGGTCAGTCAAGTAGATGGCACGGCTGTCGCCATTCACCCACAGGCGAAGCGGCCAGTCCGGCCACAAAGTTGGCCTCTTCTTTTCTCAACAACAACGATTCTCAAGCACCGCTCTAAGAAGGAGGACGAGGCCTGCACACTCAACAAACCTTTAATGCCGAGTGATGTGTTGCCCGAAGCCACGGCCTGCAATGCATACTCAATCTGCACCAACTTGCCCGAAGGGCTATAGTGGCAAACAGCCAGGCATCAACCGGTCGAAAGGGGGATGAGGAACATCAGAACTGAACTGGGTGCGGTTGTTTTTTTTTTCTTCCATGGCCAGCACCAGCGAGAAAGGGTGACGCTGCGCAGATTCTACCTAAAGGTCGTCAAACTGAAGCTGTAACGCGACGTCATGGCGCTGTTGAAGTGGTAGACAGAGTCAAGTCCGTATTCGACGCCGAGTAAGACTGGGGAAAAACCTGCGCCACACAAGGCGTGGCAAATGCGCTGTCCAGGTCCAACGAGCCTGCCACTGCTGTGCGCCCAGAGAAGAAGCAGAAACCACACGACGGCTGCACCCAGTGACACATCCGAGCACCATGAGTGAGAGAGCACCACAACCAGAGCCGTACATTCAAAAGAACCTCGACCGCTCGCCCCAACTACACCGACCCCCATCCACGTTCAAAGCCAAACCCCTTCACATGTTGCCCACGGCCGTCCGCCTCGCCCCTGTTCGCTCTGGGGTCGCCCTGCTCCCTCTCTCGGGTCGCACTGGCGGCTCCACACACACACACACACACACACATACCCACGTCACCTTCACCACTGACCTCAAACCACAGAGAGAGCAGAAGAAACAAAATAAAAGTCTCTCTCTCTCTCTCTCTCACAAAGTCTCTCTCTCAAAAGTCTCTCTCTCTCTCTCTCTCTCTTCCCCTCTCAAAGTCTCGCTCTGTCTCCCTCTGTCTCTCCTGAGTCTCTCTCTTTGTCTCTCTCTCTTTGACTCTCTCTCGCTATTACCACATGAAAGACTGTGCTATACTATCTTAGAGGGGTATGTATATTTAAAGTGGTTCACTTTAAAGTGTGCTTATATTCACACTATCTCTTAGGGCCCTCCTTGTTGGTGGCTCGGGCGCTGCTGCTGCTGCTGCTGCTGCTGCTGCGGCTGCTGCTGCTGCTGCTGCTGCTGCGGCTGCTGGTGGCGCATCTGGCGGAGGAAGGAGCCATGTGGTACGGCGGGTTTTGAGGTTTGTGCGTGGGAGATGAGGTGGGTGAACGACTAGGCGGCTGTGCTGTTGGTACTGCTGCTTGTCGCTGCTTTTGCCGCTGGGCGGTGAGGCAAGCGGTAGCATGATTGGGGCGGTTGGCTCGGGGGTGCGCGCTCTGCTGCTCGGCACGCTCTTGAGCTGCTGGGCATTGACGGGCGCAGGTACCACACCCGTGGCCTCGCGCGCGCGCTACATGGTATCCTGGTCCGAGTATCGCATGCCCTGGGAATGGGAAGCTCGCCTTGCAGCGATCCCCTCCCCTGGAGCCAATTGCCGCGTCACCATCCCTGCCCTGCCGGGACGTCTGCTTCACCCACACGCAACCGATTTCGTCGTCGTGGAGTTGCACAACTGCTCCGATCAAGAGCACCAGGCCTGGCAGCGACAGCTTCCCTCCCACTTGGGCCCCGCGTTTCGTGCCCTACAACCCGATCGCCCAGTTCAACCCAGACAGTTGCAGCACCTGGATTCCTTCAATGCCAGGTTGGCTCAACCCGTTCCTCCTCGCTCGTATCAACTCCTGACTTCCAGGGGCCCCTCCCTCGTCCGTCCTGGTCCGTCTTCTTCCCCCCTTCACCCAAGCTTTTTTTACTGTCTATTCCAGTCGCCGGCCCTGCGGCTCTAGCGCAGAGGGTGACAGTGGCCCCCGCGTCCTGCAAGCGCCTCAAAACATAGCCGCTGACGACCCCGCCGCCTTGGTCTTCCATCTGCAAGCGCATCGTCTCTGGGCCCTTGGCTATCAAGGCCAAGGTACATCAAGGCCCCCCGTCCACCTGCGTCTTGGCCAAGCATCTCGACGCTATGCGTGCTCTCCCAGATCTGACACTGCATCCGTCTGCCCGCGCTGTTGACAGGCGTGCGCGTCGCTGTCTTCGATACCGGCATTGCGGCAACCCACCGCCAGATCAGGAACATCGTCGTGAGTCTAACACCCACATAGCCTGCCTGCCACGCTACCACCCTCTCACTCGCTCAACATAGACCCCTTCCCATACACTTGGCCGCCAACTCACGCTGAAAACAGACGCCCGCTCACTTCTCCTGTTCGTTTCCAAATGCTCTTTGCTCCTCTGGACTTGGAACAGGAGCGTACAGATTGGACCGATGAGCATGTCCTGGATGATCAATTGGGACATGGCACTTTTGTTGCCGGTACGGCATGGTACTCTTGCCCAGCCTCTTCACCAACCACACGATATCACGAGCGCTGTCTAAATCACGTGCCTCTGGCTCGCAGGTGTCATTGCATCCCACAGCGACTGCCAGGGCCTCGCGCCCTTGGCTGAAATCCACGCCTACCGTGTCTTTACCCGCAAACAAGTCTCTTATACCTCCTGGTTTCTCAACGCCTTCAACTATGCCATGGCCCGCCGTGTGCACTTGATCAACTTGAGTATTGGAGGTCCCGACTTTCGCGACGAGCCCTTTGTGGCCAAGGTTCAGGAACTGACCGCGCGTGGCATTGTCCTGGTCTCGGCCATTGGAAATGATGGGCCCCTCTATGGCACCTTGAATAATCCTGGTGACATGAACAGCGTAGGTCGCAACGACAATCCTCTCGCCAAACCATTCGACACGATGGCGCCTTGGCATGATCATGTCTAGCCTCTCGTCATGCTCCTATACATGCCTCTGCGTAGGTGATTGGCGTGGGTGGAATCGATTATCGGGATGAGCTGGCCCACTTTTCCTCGCGAGGTAACATTCTGCCGGAAGCCAGTTTGTTGTGCATCCCGCCCATAAACGATTCACCCCTGCCCTCCTATCCATGCAGGCATGACGTTGTGGGAGCTTCCCTGGGGAATGGGGCGTGTCAAGCCTGATATTGTTACCTATGGCTCAACAGTTCGAGGCCCCAAACCTGGTGGCGGTTGCCGGACACTGAGTGGTACCAGGTGAGCCGCGGTGAAGCAACGGGGCCTCTCTTTGCTGCACACGCGCTCACTTCTGACACTCAACACGGCTTTGCTGACTGGTTGCAGCGTCGCTTCTCCCGTTGTGACGGGATCTCTGGCTCTTTTGCTCTCCGCGCTGCCCGAGGGCCGCCGGAATGCTCGCAATGTTGGCGCCATGCTCAAGCAAACGCTTCATCAAACCGCTCAGCGTCTGCCCAAAGTGTCAGTTCCTACCTCTAAATGATCTTCATCTGGATCAGGACTCGTGGCGGAAACATGTACTCATCGTAGACCCAACCCCCGTCTACTCTAGGAACATGTTTGAACAGGGGGCTGGCAAACTGGACCTCGTCCGAGCCGCCATGTACTTGGAATCTTACCTGCCGCATGTTTCTCTCTTCCCGGCCCAACTTGATACGACCGATTGCCCTTATGCCTGGCCCTACTGTACATCAGGTCGGATCAACGCACCCTGCCGGTGAATTCATGGCCAGGTTTGCTCGCCAGAACAGCCTGTTCACTTCAACATCAATTTTCAATAGGCATATATTATTCGGCTTTGCCCTTGGTGGCCAACCTGACCGTCATCAACGGTGGGATCAATGCTTCAATGCCTTCCCGCACGCTTGGCAAAAGCCTCACACGTAACCTATGGTGTCCCCATAGGCGTGGGTGCCACCTCCCGTTTGCGCAAGCAAAGTACGCGCTGGTACCCCGGCACGCATGGAGACCTTCTGGACGTATGTTTTGCCACCGCAACCCTGGCGTTGGCCAACCAACTCGCCCACTCTTTTCTTTTTTTTTTTTTTCTTTTTTTTTTTCTTTGTTTTCTTTGTTTTCTTTTTTTTTTTTTTTTTTTTTTTTTTTTTGGTTTCAGGTGACCTGCTCCAACTTTGATTCTTCAGGTGGCCGTTGAAAGCTCTGAACTATGGTGGCCCTGGTCTGGTACGCCCAACAAGGAGCATCTTGCCCTCAACTCGAGCAATTCACCAACTGGGGCCTGCATAACTCACCGTCGCACTGACTCGCATATCGCCGAGCTAGGTCATCTGGCGGTCCGGGTCGGTGTCAACCGCAATGGACGCCGGGCCACTTGTGTGGCGGATGGGGTCATCGTTATTCAAGTTGAAACGATTGTGGAGGTTTGTTGCTGAATGAACAGACTGCAAGCGCCTCTCTTGCTGCACGTTTCTTTGGATTTTTGACTTTTTTTTTTGTGTGTGCGTGTGCGTGTTTTGTTTTGTTTGTTTTTGTTTTTTTATATTCCCACGGCTTCCTCTCGTGATAGGGCCAAGGCCGCCCTCTGCTACAGGATGTACAACTTCCTGTCACAGTGCGCATTATTCCAACGCCGCCACGCTCGCGACGGCTTCTGTGGGACCAGGTGTGCCCGCATGCCCCTGCCGCCTCATGTGACCAGTTGTTTGAACATAACTTACCTTCCGTTTGGCGTTCCCTAGTATCACAGCCTAGCTTATCCTTCGGGCTACTTTCCGCGCGATGATCTGCAACAATCAGACGACCCCTTGGACTGGAACGGTGATCATCCCTATACCAACATGCGCACCATTTTCAACCGACTGGTGCGAAACTCGTGTGCTGATTCAGGCATGAACATACAGCCTCAGTTTGCAGGGGCATCGTGGCTTACCCACGCCTGCATGCAATCTGTGCACGCTGGGATACTTTTTTCAGATGGCCAGTGGCTACTTTGTCGAGGTGCAACAAGAGCCCCTTTCCTGCGTGCGAGGTGAAGATTACGGCGCCCTCCTCATCGTGGACCCGGAGGAGGAGTTCTTTGCCGAGGAAATCCGACATGTACGGCACCTCGTGCCTGGTCCATCTGTCCTGCCGGCGGCACAGTGGCATGAACGATATTGCAACGACATGCTCTTTTGCTTGTTTTCAGGCACTGTTTTGACTTGTTGCAATTTCGTGTTTTAGGTTGAATATATGGTTCGTCAGCATGGAATGGGCTTGCTCGTTCTTGCAGACTGGTACTCGGAACAATTGTTGACTGAAGTCAAGTTTTTCGACGACAATACTCGCAATGAATGGTTTCCAGAAACTGGGGGCAGGTACAGACCAGAAATCTTCGTCTGCACAATCGCATATGCCTTTCGTTGCTTCACTGGCAAGGATGAAATTCTTCTCACGCCAACGCAACACGGTCTTGTTTTATTGGGCACAGCAATTTGCCGGCACTGAACGACCTTCTTCGCCCATTCAAAATTCAATTCACCAACCAGGTTCCTGTCGTGGCCCTCATCCAATCGCTCCGCCTTGTCGCCATTCACTTGGGGGCGCATGCTTACGGATGCTTGGACGACAGGCCTTTGAAGGACGCTTCAGCTTTGAGCACAAAACCATTTCGGTGTGTCAAGCAATGCTCTATGTTCGCAGACTCTGCAACGTCCAGGTACTCCCCGCACGCTATCCGACTTCTTGTTTTCTCTCAACTCTTGGTCTAGTATGCCACAGGAGCCACCTTGGCCGAATTTCCAAAGGGTGGCATCGTGGTCAGCGCCCTTCTTTCCAATTCTCTCGACAACGTAAGGAAACCCGTCAGAGGTTTTCATCTGCCTCCCCCTGTTGCGCTTGCCGTGCCTATCCCTGGCCGTGCCTGTGCCTATCAGACCGAGCGACAATACTTTTGAGTCCCAAAACTTACTGGGCCACGTGTTTATGCCAGAATGGCCGCGGCCTCGGCCGCGGAAGCCTGCAGCGCGTACCCATTATTGGCTTTTACGAGGTAGGCACATTTGACCGATTGTCTATACCTCCGTGCAGGGCGTTCCTTCTCATGCTTGGCCCACCCATGTTCTTGCTTGCGCGTAGCATGTGCTGGATCAACATGGACGCATTGGCATCTATGGAGACTCCAATTGCATTGACGATGCGCACACTGCCGCAAATTCGCCGCCCTGCCACGACCTGTTCCTGAGCATGCTTGATTATGTGCTCCGAAATGATGCTGGCGCAACACCACTGCTGCAGGTTGTCCCACCGTTTTCCTATCCCCTCCAGGGCATGAGCGTTGAACATTTCGTTTCACTGTCAGCCATCACTTACGAGGACTGTGCACTACCTGTTGTTGGGCCTGTTTTGCCCTGCACAGCTCGGTGAAATGCTGGAAGTTCACTTGAAAGCTGTAAACAGTGTGCTTCCTCGACGCAGCCCACTCTCGACACTGGGTTTCTACTCCCACGTGATTAACGTACGATCAGCCACACCAGCCCTTTCTCTTGGGTTGTCACACAGCTTTGCGCACCATCTATGCTCACCCTCACCCAACAAATGTCATGCCCGTACGCGCACTCGGGCACCCTGGTAGGCTTCCTTGCCCACATGTCGACATGTGCAGTGGCTGTTGCCCTCGCCGGCGAGACACGCAAAACCACCCCACACAGTTTACCGACGCCACGCGCCGTGGCAACCTCAGCAGCCAGTACGCACAGGCTCGCTGACCGAATCTCTTCTCGACACAGACCAACATGCCAATATCAACGAATGGCGCCGCCAAACAACGACGGCTTGGACCCAAGCATGGCTGATAATGATACTCGTATCCCCAGCCATGATCATTCTCTTGCTTATCTGCCGCCAGCGCCGCCGCTGCTTTTAGCCTGCACCGCCCCTTTGGCATTGTCTGTTTGCACCTGACATAAAACTATTATAACATAAGAGACTTCATAATCGATCCATTGAGCTAGCACGTCAAATCTGAACCCTTGGCCAAGACCAGTATTTTGTGATTGTCTCGCACCAGAGGCAAAGAAAGACTTGGTGTGAATAGAAGTGTCACCACGATGATCAATGATAAAACAAGGCCAGGGTTACAAAAGAGGTGTTCGGAGTATTCATCGGCAGCTCCCCACACTTTCAAGCAACCACAAACACGCCATCGAAAAGCACTCGAAAGCCAACGCGCTAAAGAAAAACCGTCAGTGCCCGAACCTCTTGAATGAAGCCTAAACGGGCATACCGACACTGTGCATCACCTATACCTAAAAAAGAAACATCTTGACGAGCACAGACACACACACACACACACGCACGCACACACATGCACAAAAGAGGGCTCAAAAACGACCCAAAGCCATGATGCTCTTTATTCTTGAGGAGACGTGCAAAACCATTACTTGAGACCCAACAGCGCTGCCTCCTCCTCCGAGAGAGAGGACAAGAGGGAGTCTTGGCCATTTGTAGCATCCCCCATGATTGGCGCTCGCCAGTAATTAAAGTTGTCATAGTCGCTGTGTGTGTCTCCTCGGGACCATGTGGCCAGCCCGTTAATGGGTGGGAAGAAAGCATCCGCGACCAAACTCATTTGCGAGTAGGAAGAGCGCCTATCCAAAATCAGTCAGATCAACATCACGGGAACATGAAGACGTACATCACACACAAACTCGCCAGTTTTCTGGCCTCAGCCCCAGGCTTTGACAATCGGACCGAGAAGAGAGGAGGGACATGGAAGAAACACGACAACAACAGCTATTAAGGCCGGAAACATACATGTAAGTGCCGCTCGACACCTTGAGAAGACCGGCAGGATCAACGGTAAAGATGCGCGAGTCTGTAATGCCCACCGCTCGGTAGGTGACGACGTCTATCGAGGAGAGAGTGACGGTGAGTGCCCGGTTGAAAAATGCCTGGCTGCTGTGCGGACGGCCTGCCAGAATGAGGACTGACCAGAGTGGCGGTTGCCGAATCCAGCAACAAAGGGGTTGGGGTTGCAAGGAGGAAAAAGATTTTGAATGTCGGACAGACAAGTGATCTTAAACTCCTCTGGTCGCCGGAGGATGACCTCGCGATGCAGACTCTTGAACAAAGAGGAAGGTGACAACAGGATGGGGCCGTCGGGTAGCTTGTGGGTGTCTTGGATGATATTGCGCAAGTACTCTGGATATGGCCGACAACATGTGACTTGTGAGGCTACATAAAGAAAAGGTGGCAAGGTCTGCCCATTGCTAGCAGTGCGTGAAAAAGAGTGTAGAGTCGAAACATACCGCGAGTGCCCATGGATTGGGAAATGGATCGTGACGAAAGATATAGAAAGTTATAGCCGTTGCGACTCACACCAGAGTAGAGAGTGGCAATGCCTGTTTGCGTCCAGTCCGTACCCATAAAAGCAGCAGCGTGGCCTAGCATATCCGAACGCGTAATGGTCCCATCGATGTCTGTGTGCCCATTGCGCAGCCACCACACCAAACCCGTGAGAACTGGTGGTCTAGGAGGAAACCGTGGGTATCCCAGCGTCGGCATACCTGAAACAACAATCTTGGAAGTGTAATGCCACAAGAAGATACGGCAAGAGATCTATGGCAGCGGCAGGGTGTGGGACAGAAGATGAGTTCAGGGTGGTTCCTGAAAAGACCAACGACGAGCGCGGGGTTGATGCCAATCTGCCAAGCAAGTGTACCACGTACCGTAGCTTTGCCTTGCAGCTTGGAGACGACAGTAAACTCGCATACGTTGCTCCCGGGCTTCAGGTTGAGCGACAGTAGCTGCTCGGAGGTCAGTCGTAAGCTTTTGCGAGCCATGTCGCCCACAGATTCGAGGCTGGACTGTGAGGCCAGTGCTGCACGGCTGTGGCACGACAAGAGCATGGCAGGGAAGACAAAATAAGGAGAAGATGTACTGGGCCAGTGTTGGACAGATGCAAAAAAAGTCGCAAGCATGACATACCCTGCGCTGACGCGCGCGCCCGAGGCAGAGGCAGGTACATCACCAGCAGTGGCTGGACGCGGCCGTGCAGCTGCCTCGGCCCGAGAATCGGCGGGCGCGCTACTGGCGTGTACAGTGTCATCAGAGGCTTCATTGGCGCTATCGCGGCTGGACCCCGACGGCATGTTGACGGGCATGCTTGCACGATGCTTGAGGGTACGTCGCTGTTGTTGGGGCGAGTTGTGCTCGCTGCCCGAGGGCTCGCTGGCAGTGGTATGCTCGGCATCATCGGCTTCGACATCGGATTCGTCCGACGCCATGACCGAGGCATTGGAGCTTGCGGCTTTGGAGGCCCAGCCAAAAAGCCAGCTGCGGCTCTTGGTCTCGCGGCGACTCTTTTCTCGCTCGAGCGCCGCTGTGAATGAGAGTGGTGAGGTGAGACCGTCGACTTTCAAGGGAAGCAGAGTACGATTGGAGCAGCAGGTACACACCAATGGCCTCGGCGGGTAGAGGCTGATGAAACACAACGTGACTCATGATGTAAGGACCAGCCATCTGCAGGGCAAAGCATTGTCAGATGAGGCGAATTCTTGACCAGAGGTCTGAAAGGGAAGGCCGGGACGATTCGCAAGCACAGACCCTGGGCACACTTGGCAGCCATGGCAGCCATGGCCAAACTGACGCACCTCCCAAGAAAAATAGCGCTCGCCACCGATGCGCACCACCAGGTCCTTGTGCTGCAAAAGGGTGGGGTCGCTGACAAACTGGCTAAAGTCGACGTGATGCCGATTGAAGCTGACGGCGAGCTCCTCTTGCGATTTGTCCTTGTCACCGCCGCAGAGAGAGAGCTCAACGACGGGGAAGCCGTTGTCACCAAGCTCATCCTCAGACTCGGGCTCTGGGATCGAGTTGAGGCTTGCCGGCGTGGGAGTACCGGGCTCGTTGGTGATTTCCTCGTCAGGAAGTCCACGAGCGTTGCGAGCGATAAGCCCGGGACTGCCCGAGGGTGTGCGAGAGTCGTCTGCGGCGTCACAACTTGAAGCAGGGACGACGACTGGACTGTGATCGAGAAGCTTTGAGGTAACAGACTCGGAGATGGAGCGGATGCGACCGGTAGGACCGAGAGAGAAGACGTCAGCGGCGGATGAGTCGAGGGTAATGTCGTCAAGCGATCGAGCGGCCCGCAAGGGGCCCGGAGCTGGGGCATCTGAAGCCAGAAGTTCAGTCTCGGTTGGATCACGGGGCGAAGGCACAACGGTTCGGGAAAATTGCTGGGAGTTTGAGCGTTTTAGACTGTGCTCATGGCTACGCACTGGCATATCACTGTGGAAGAGATGTAGCAAGGGCAAGGAATTGTATATGGATCAGAAAGGGAGTGGACAGGGATGATAACGAGGAGAGGCCAGGCAGAGCAAAGGAAACCACAACGGACCCCCAGAGCCAAGACTCGATGCTGTCGTCAAAATGGGAAGCGTGGCTCTCGTCGAGTCCATTGCTACGAGCAACTTCTTCGGCAGGTTCCTCGGAAATGGAGGCAGGGATGGAAAGCCTGTCAGCATCGGCTGCATTTCCGCTGCTCTCTACATCGGACAGGCGAGGTAGTGGTGTGGTTACGGGCGAAGTCAAGTTGCTCTCGGTGACGGGAAGGGCGTTTTCTGGGGCGTCGTTGATGTCATGGACGAAATATGCCTCGCCAGCCCGGCCAACGCGCATGGCAACCTCGGCCTGTTCGCCATTGACGACAACGCGAACCTGCAGACACGGGTGAGCAAATCACGGAGAGAGAGAGAGAGAGAGAGAATGAGATTGGAGAGGTGGGCCTGAGAGCTGAGGAAAACGGGAATGGAGGGCAGGGGCATGATCGGACGGACCTGGCGCTCCATGGCACGCAGCAGAGTGAGCTTGCCAAAGCGCACGTGAAAGGGGCTGCATTTGAGGCTGCCATCGGGCTGTTGTACAACAATAACGTCGACGGCACCGCTCAGCGTGGCTGGGTTGATGTCATTATAAAGCGTCGAGAGACGGCGAAAAAGCTCCATGGCGGCGTATTCCATTCAGCCTCTCGTTGGTGGGCGGCCCCTCAAGTTTGAGGGGCAACAACAGTGTGGAGCCGTCAGCAACGGATGGTACTGAAGGAACGAAACGGGAGATGGTTGGGTTGGGAGGTTTAGGGGCCCGAACGTGGTGGGGCTCGTCAACGGGTCGCCTGGACGAAGCAGCTAGAGGGGCTGGGGGCAAGGCGGGTCAAGGACTGATGTCAGGGCCATGGCCTGCACTGTCACACACACGCCTCGTGGGTGTCGTGCAAACGGATGCCCGGGTGTCAAAGTGAATCGCAGGTAGCGGAGCAGTCAAGGCGTTGTGGTGATCACGCGACGCGTGGCGCACAGGACCTAGAGGCAGGGCCAGCGTGAGGGTCAAGCGCGAATCAAAAAGCGGGACACCCCAAAAACAACTACTCCAACGGATTGAACGCGTGGGTGCCTCATTTCTATCTCTGTGCCTTCCCGGCGGTGAGACAGGGAGAGAATGGAGCAAGCGTCGCCCCATTGGCACGAATCAATAGAGCAGGAGAACGAGCCCGCTGCCCGCTGCTGCGCGTCACCACAACGAGCTCGCCCGCGTTCGTGTTTGGAGATGACAGAACACACAGTCCAGAGCAGAACACGACATGACATCACCATCACAAATCCGCGCACACGGGACCCACTGCGACACAGTCCCCGCTGGAGATGAATGCAGGCAGAGGCAGGCGACGAAGTAGAGCACGTACCAGTGACGGGAAGCTGAGCACACGAGAGAGCGCGCGCCGGCGAGAGAGAGAGAGAGTGAGAGAGTGAGAGTGTGTGTGTGTGAGAGAGAGAAAGAGAGAGAGGGAGAGATCAGGCGCCTCTCCGGTAGAGATGTATTCCAAGAGGGTTGTCAAATCAAGAGGTTGGAATAAAGTTTGAATATATCTGCATTATAAGACAAGCCAATTTAGAGAAACCCTCGCCAAGTCCATCTGACCATAGAGATGCAACCAGAATAGAAGCTACGTGCAGAGATGATGGTGTCTTCACATCAACATCTCATGCATGTGTGTGCACACGCACACCCCAAGGAAGAATCTGATGATGTTCATCCCCTACGTGTGTCTCTCTGAATCTCTCTCTTTGAATCTCTCTCTGAATCTCTCTCTAAATCTCTCTGAATCTCTCTCTCTCTGCCTCTCTCTCTAAATCTCTCTCTAAATCTCTCTCGCTCTGAATCCCTCTCTCTGTATATCTCTCCCACTCTCTCTCTCTCTCTAAATCTCTCTCTCTTTTGCTTGTGCTCTCTTGATCTTTCTATCTCGCCGCTCGCCGCGATCCGTCCCTACGGCAGGACACACATCTTTCTCTCTTCAGGTCTTTTTGCTGCTCCTCCTCCCTGCTCCCTCCTCCTCTCTCTCTCACCCCAGAAGCAGCAGGCCTCCAGATTCTGCACTTGAAATGAGGAAAAGGGCATACTTCGTTGGTTCGATAGTGTGTCGATGGGCAGACTATGCATAAAGTGGACGGCGCACACTTGAAACGCCAACACGACATTTCACACAGCTGGCCCAGCCGGAAAAAAAAAGACCCCTCCACATAGCGATGCTGTACCCCCATTCTGTCTGAACCTTTGGGTCACGACCCTAGAGCTCATCCCCATCATCCACACCACCGACTGCCACTTCACTTGTTGGAAGATTTGACCCATCAACCTTGATGTGTGTGAGGCACGGAACCGAAAAAGAGAGAGAGAGGGACTGATCGTGTTTTTGTTTCTTTTTGGGTTCGCCGAGCAAAGCACGGGGAGCGAAAAACGCATCACAAAAAATGAGCAGCAGGTGCAAACAATCACCAACACCATCACACAATTCACAAACAACATGATACAAGAGCACGCCTGATTCCGCCTCTCCCAGAGACAACGCATGCGCCGCCGCCCCGCCAGCGTCACCACTCACATCCTCCAAAGACATCAAACCCACACCACGCACCACGAGAGCACGGATCCAGGAAAGAAGAGAGGACAGGTGAAAGGAGACACGAGACAGGACACGACGAGACATGGCAAGACAGCCACAAGAAAGCCACCAAACCAGACAACGCCAGAAAACATTGCAGCAATCCCTGCAAGCAGCCCCTGGAAATTAAAAGCAGAAGAGAATGACACCCGCTCAACGCCAAATGAGGTCGTCCTGACACGAGCACGGGTCAAGCCACCACCAAAAGGCGTGAAGAGGGTCATGTCTCCCTGGAGGCTGCTGCTGGTTCAGCGAGAATGATCAACAGACAAAAGAGACGGACGGGGAAGGGTAGCCAACCACCACATGGCCAACATGTGACGGAAGAAGCGCAGCAGCGGCTCAGAACTTAGTTGTCGTCACCGGCATCAACATCACCCGACGAGTCCGAGGTCCATAGCGTCAGGTTGTCACGGAGCAGCTGCATGATGAGGGTGCTGTCCTTATACGACTCCTCGTTGAGGGTATCGAGCTCGGCAATGGCCTCATCGAAAGCCTGCTTGGCCAGAGAGCAAGCCTCATCGGGGGAGTTCTTGATCTCGTAGTAGAAGACGGAGAAGTTAAGAGCCAGACCCAGGCGGATGGGGTGGGTGGGAGCCATCTCAGCTTGGCTCAGGTCAAAGGCCTCCTTGTAGGCGGCCTGCGAGTCGTTGACAATCTCTGAAAGAAAAAAAAACGAAACAATCCCCAATCACATGGCCAAGAAGCCAAAGAAAAGAAAAGGCGGGTAGCGCATGAGTCGGATGTGGATCAGAAGCACAGGCACAACATAGAACCATGCAGACGATATTGAGAAGAATAACGATACAGTTGGCAAATGACGAGCAACAAACGCACCGTCACGCTCGTTGCCGACGGCAACCTCGGCGAGGTAACGATAGTAGTCACCCTTCATCTTGAGGTAAAACACCTGTTTTGTCGTGCCCGACAAACAACGATCAAGGGTCATGATGAGAATGCGAGGCTCGCAAGACTCGTGATGGGATGCAGGTTGACAGGGTGAAAGACATCAGATCAGGCAAAAGCTACGCACTCTGCTCTCAGCCGACGAGGACTTGGGGATGAGGTGCGAGTTGAGCAGCTCCTAAAACAAGCGGGGCACAAAGTGTTAAGACCTGGTTTGGGGAAAAAAAGGACTCAACCTTGGAGCCTTGCAAACAGCATTAACCAAAACAAAACAACAACCAAAAAAAGCCTGAGCGAAAATGATCAAACTTACGAGGACCTGCTCGCAGATCTCCTTGAGCTCCTTCTCAATGCTCTCGCGGTACTCGCGGGCCATCTGTTGCTTGCGTTCCGAGCCCTCGGTCTTGGACTCGATGGAGGAGATGACGCGCCACGAGGAGCGGCGGGCACCCACAACGTTCTTGTAGGCGACGGAGAGAAGGTTGCGCTCCTCGTTGGACAGCTCGCTGTCCATCTCGGTGACCTTCTTCATGGCATTGGCCATGTCATCGTAGCGCTCGGCCTGCTCGGCAAGCTTGGCCTGCGAGACGATATCCTCACGGTCAGTCATGATGTTGGTCTTCGGTTGGTTGTCCAAGATTCAACGTCAGCACTGCCAATCGCAAGAAAAATAATGTCAAGTCGCCGTGTCCAGAATGAGGAGCAATACATATGGGGCAAGCAGGGACAAAGTTCAATGAGAGTTGAGCAAAGTGCGCTGCAGTGGATGAGGACGGGAAGAGAGGGCAAGCGCCAAGATGTGTGTGGGTTGTGGGTGTCAGTGATGCATACGATGGCCATTCACACACGAGCAAAGTCCCAGCACACATGAGAATGCTCAACCCAATCTGAACAGCAACGTCCTGGCGCCAATAACACCCAGACTTTGGGCGAGCGAGTGCAGACCACAGCCATTGATTGGGCTTGTCACCAAGTGAACCAACGGGTCGTCATCCAAGTGTTTCAACAAAAACAAAAAAACAGGGCAGCACCACCACTGACACCAGGGACGCCAGAACATCCGAGAAAAAAAAGACGGCCGTTGAACGTCAGCAAGAGGTCATTGCACGGCATGGACCGCGAGCACTGGACCAATGCCAACGACCTGCTTTAAAGACCTTGACCCTGCTGCGACGATGCCAACGATACCACGACACTTACGTACAAACAGAGAGAGACTGAGAGGAAAAAACACCAGAGCGCGAGCGACCAAGATAACAACGGACAAAAAAAACAGGCGAGGAAAGAAACCTGCCGGAAGAGATGGCAGGGGCTCTAGTGTGGTTTCAAGGGCACGAATGGGACGAGCGTGGTATGTATGGGTGCGCAAGACAATGTGCATGTTGTTTGGAGCAGCCAGGATAGAGTCGGTGGCACGGTCGGGGCAGAGACGCGGCTGCCATTTGACACTCAAGTCGCGCCCGACCAAGGCTTGGCAGGGTGAGTTGGATCTCACACCCGGCAACACCCTCTGCTTGTGTTCAACGTTACAAGTACCACACACGACTGCACATCCTCTCAGCCATGATTCTTTTGTTTCCGGTGGGAGGGGATCACAGTGGGTACTCACGCAACACCAAATTGGCGGGAAAATTAACACTGGATAGCATTCACTTTCATCTCATGCGCGAGCGAGGGCTCACAGTGTGTGTTAGTGTGTGTGTGCTCGTGTGCGGTTACTGGACTGCGCGGTCACTTACGTTGTCAAGCGCCAAGGGTGGCTTGTGTTGCAGTAACCTTAAGCTTATGAATTGAACGAGAGTTGGGAAAAGAACAAAGAAAGGGAAGTAACGGGGTAAGCAGCGGTCATGCATGGGTGTTGTAACGTAACGGGAGGAGGTGGTGGGGGTATTGGTCAGTGAAGCGGTGCGCCGGGAAAACTTGAAGGATCAAGTCACTTTTTTTGGTGTCTCGACTATAAGGGTTTCTCGGAACCGATATTTTTAGCGGGGTCTTGGCAGAATCCACACACTTTTGGCCGAAAGAAGCAAGACCTTAGGAGTCGTTTGGAACTACACTTGGTAGCGAGGTGGGGTCAAGAATAAAGGTAAATCCACCATTACAGCAACAGCCAAAGGTGTTGGGGACAGGAGGGTGCTTACTTCCGGAACAACATTCAAAAACAAAAGACCAGCTCAGGGGGTCAAATCGGTGGGGTCAGCTTGTAGTGGACTACATCGGCTTCGCCTATGATTAGACGAAACGGATAAGAATACGCTGACCCCAAAACTTTGTTGTTTTTTGCCCGGCCTGGCCCTCAAACTGCGGACATGAAGCTGCTGGCCGCCGCGATCGCCGCGAGCGAGGTGTGTGTGTGTGTCTGGGTGTGTGTCTGGGTGCGCGCGCCTGTGCCTGTGCCTGTGTCTGGGTGTCCCGTTGCCTCCCCCGCCTCCGCCTCCGCCTCCGCTCCCTTGGCCGCTCGGCTCTCGCCCCGAGCAGGCTTGTGCCCGTGGTTGTGGTGGTCCATTTGTATGGGTGTGAACTTGCGGTCGCGATCAGAGCCGAGGACAGGAACGCCATGCATGGCCTCTCACGCGCCCACTTGCTGACTGTGCTCGCACGTTGGTGCCGTCGTGGGGCGGTCAGTCGGCGCTCCTCCCACCCCTGGACGTGCGCGTGAGGTTTGTTTCTTCGCTCTTTGTCGAGTGTGAAGGGGGGCGGGGGCTTTTTGCAAAACATGTCTGATAACCTTTGAAGCAACGCGCCCCCTGCCTCCCTGTCCCCCTCAAGAATCCTCCAACGCCCAAAAAGGATGCTCATGCCATGCCTTGCTTGACACAAATGTGCACGCACAGCGCGGAAACGGCCACGCTTCATGGTCTCGAGCACAACCAGCGCCTGGAGCTCATTCGTCCGCAGACCCCGGTGGTACCACCGTCAACCACCCCCGCAGCAGTTTCGCCGCTGACCCGGGCTCGCGTGCGCGTTGTCCTGCACCGGGATGCACCCACGCATCGCATGCTGCTCCCCCCGGCCCTGCTCCTCGCTCTCGACCTGGCTGAGAATGAGCCCATCTCTTGGACGGTTGCAGAGTCAGCGCCAGGTGCCTTTGCCCCCGCCACCCGCGTGGCCCTTCGAGGCCCTGCCCTGCGTGCTGCCGCCCTGCAGCGCGACCCTGCTCTGAAATCCAGCCTCCACCAACTCCTTCTCGGTCATGCCCTTGCCCCGGTCTGTTCATTTCCCTCCCCTCCCCCGGCCTCTTCCCAGCGGGTTCTCCCCATGGCCCTCGCTCTCATGGCGCTCTCTGCTCATGCCACACACCCATCGGCACCCCGTCTGTCTATGCTGCCCATGCCCTCCCGTCGCCACCAGGGTTTGCTGGTGGATGCTCAGGTCTGGGGCCTGCGCACCCGCCTTGAAATATGTGCCGTTGGCCTGGCCCGCCGCCCTAGTACCAATGCCGGTGTCCATGCAGGAACGTCCTCAATCCCGCTGCACCAAGCCCTCCATGACCTGACGCTCCAGCCGCCCGTCTCGGTGGATAAAGCGCCTGCCCGGCCCTTCTGGGGTTTTGTGACCCCGAACACCCGACTCGAGTTTGTGGACGACATTCCTGACCTTGCCGCCGGTGCTGGCGATGATGCCTTTGCCCTCGTCGGGGGCCTGGAACAGCAAATTACCACACTCAAAGAACTCGTCATGCTTACGCTCACAAATCCCCAAGCCTACCACCAGCTGCACGTTCGGCCCCCCACCGGTGTCCTCATGACAGGGCCCCCAGGTAGGAATAGTTTGTGCACTCCAAGCCCCACCTGCAAGCCTGCGTTCATCACACTTGGCATCTTCTTGTGCAACTGATGTACCCTGATCGCGTATCTCTGCGCCTGACCCATGCAGGCACTGGCAAAACGCTCTTGGCTCGTACCCTGGCTCGTGCCTGTGGTGTGCATGTCGTACTGGCGGATGTGACTGGACTCATCTCGCGCGTTGCTGGCGAAACGGAGCAGCGCATCACTGCTCTCTTTGACGAGGTTTGCCTGTGCTGCCCACCCCCTCTCACCGGATAACCCCTTGCCCACCATGTTGGCCACGGCTGTGATCTCTGCCTGATGACTGTGCTCGTGTCCGTCAACTCTGCCGTGCCTCGCCCACCAGGCCCGCAGCAAGGCCCCAAGTTTGGTGTTCATTGATGAGATTGACGCTCTCTGCCCCAATCGCGCCCAGGCTGCGTCGGAACTCGACCGCCGCATCGTCACCATGTTCCTCACGCTCATGGATGGGCTCTCCGCACGCACCACATCCTGTCAGATCCCCCTTGCCTGCCTTTCTCGGCCTCCGCGCGCGTACCAGCCTTTGACCCATCACCCGTCCAATTCAAGCCCACTCACCCACACACAAAAATCCCAACTTGATGCCCTTCCCACAAATTGCACCGCAGCCCCCGTGGTCGTTTTGGCCGCCACCAACCGCCCCGACGCCTTGGATCCAGCCCTGCGTCGCCCCGGCCGCTTTGACCGTGAACTTCACGTGGGTATACCCACCGCGCCCCAACGCCAGGCCATCCTCGAGGTGCGTATCTCGCCCGGTCGAACGGCCCAATCTGCAGGCAGCCCTTTTGACACCCAGCAGTCTCTTGACGGTTTTGGCTGCGTTGGCTGGTTTTGGGCTTTGTTCTTCTCCGTGCCTTTGGTGATCCCCCATGTGTAGGTTCTGCTGCAGCGAGTACCACACCAAGTCGACTCGGCCACGTTGGCCGACGTTGCTGCAAGAGCCCACGGCTACGTCGGCGCAGATCTCACTGCCATCATTGCCGTACGTCGTCTACCTGCCGCCGAGCCAAGGCCTCCTTAGCCGCCGAGCTTGGTTCTTGACTCTTGTCCTGGCTCAATCCGCGCCTTCCTGCTCTTCCGACCGCCCCTTTTTGTTGCAGACTGCTCGGCAAGAGGCGGTGGAGCGGCATTTGGCCCAAGGTGATTCAGGGAGTACTGCCCTGGCCCAAGTGTCCCTGACCAACCACGACCTGTTGCTGGGTCTGACCAAGGTACGCCCCCGCGTTCTTCCTGGACGTTTGTGGTGCAATTACAGCCTGGATTCGGCCGCTCATGATCGTCGCCTGTCCACACCCGATCATGTGCAACGACGGTGGGTTGATAGGTACGGCCCAGCACCATGCGTGAAATCGCCATCGAGGTGCCTCAAGTTCGGTGGGAAGACATCGGGGGCCAGACCGAAACCAAGCGCCAGCTGATTGAGGCCGTTGAATGGCCCCTTAAGCGGCGCGATGACTTTGCACGATTTGGCATCACCCCACCCCGTGGCATCCTGCTCTATGGACCACCCGGCTGCTCCAAAACCCTCATGGCCAAGGTCGGTGCTCGCACGTCAACCCAGCATCATGTCAACGACCACGCTGGGTCCCTTATCGGTCCGCCTGCATGGCGCTATAGGCTTTGGCCACGGAGAGCGGCCTCAATTTCATTGCCGTCAAGGGTCCTGAACTCTTCAGCAAATACGTGGGAGAGTCAGAACGCGCTGTTCGCGAAACCTTCCGACGAGCCCGAGCGGCTGCGCCATGTGTCGTCTTTTTCGATGAAATCGGTGAGTAGTGCCAAGGCACATGCTCGGCGCCGTGTGCATGTTACCGTGGCTCACGGACCCGCTCGGCCTGCTGCCGTGTCTAGACTCGCTTGGCGGCAAGCGTGGCAAGACGGGAGGTGGTGTTGGGGATCGTGTCTTGAGTCAACTGCTGACAGAGTTGGACGGTGTCACGGCCCTCAACAATGTCACCGTGCTGGCGGCCACCAATCGTCCAGACCTCGTTGATAATGCCCTCCTGCGCCCTGGACGGTACGAGGATCACTATGCCATGACATGACCTGTGCAGGTGGGGGCAGATGAATCCGCCGCTTACCAACTTTGCTCTGGGGCACCATTTTGACGTGAATCATAGGTTTGACCGCCGCATTTACGTGAGCCCTCCAGACGAGGCAGCGCGACAGCACATTCTGGCCCGACAATTGCAAAGCGTGCCCCATGCCGATATTGACGTTGCGGCGCTGGTCGACGCGACAGCAGGTCTTTCAGGTGCCGAGGTAGCGGCGCTCATTCGATCAGGTGAGTTGAAGTGATGCATGGCGCTTGTTGCGTTGGCAGTTTGCGGCGTCGCCTCCCAACTGCAACGGCCACGATCGCTGACTGGTCTGTATCTGCTCCTCTGGCGCAGCATCGATGCGTGCTTTGGTCCGCAGCGCGGACAAGAGCGCCGCCGTTGTATCCCAGGCGGATGTGGAAGCGGCGCTCAGCGACACAGCCCGCAGTATCACACCTGCGATGCTTGCTTTCTACGACGGCTATCGCCGGCAATACGCCGCTGTGCGGTGAATATCTGGCCCGCTGCGCTTGGGCAGACGCCCTTCACCGTCGGCATGATAACTTTTCCTTCCTTTCCAACAGCAAGCCCGAGCAGTAGATGAGGGGAACGACTGGGGCGACTGAATAAGCTTTCCGCAACCAGCGCCGAGCGCTGCTGTTGCATTTTGCACAAAAGCCGTGTTCTTCTTCTTCTTCTTCTTCTTGCGCATTCCCACACTCGGATCGCCACCGAAACGGCGCCGAACCGACATCTTTTCAATTGCAAATCCGACTCCCCTTTAGTTCTCGTAGATCAACAGGCGCTATGTCTCCTCCTCCTCATACGATTGGTGTATCCCCACTAGCTCTCTCTGAAAAGGCGAGGTGCGTCTCGCATATCTTCACGCCTGCCCTCAACCCCAATCAAATTCGTCATTGGTCCAAGTAATAGGAGTCCAGTTTTGACGGTCCGCACAGCAGCCAAAAGATCACAAACACAAAAAATTATACGAAAATCAACCAGAAATTCATGCAAAATAAACATCGACGAATCTCTAAGTTTCCATTGCTATCCCCTTGTTTCGCTGTCAGTGTGAAGCTGCATCGCTTCATCTCTCTGACACACACACACACACACACTCTCTCTCTCTCATTTCTCTCTCTCTCTCTCTCTCACACACACGATGGCGGATCCGGAATTGGAAGCACTGCGGCAGCGCCGGCTGGCTGAACTTCAAGCGCAGGTACGTGGCGGGCTGTGTGGTGTGTGTGTGTATCTATGTGTGGTGTGTGTGTGAAGGTGGAGGGTCGCATTTCCCGGGAGACCAAGCACGGCGCCTTTGGCGGTTGCGAAGTTGGGGCTGAATGTGTGTACGCATGCCTGGTCTGTGCTCGTGGTGACTTCAGGGGGGAGGCCAGGGCCCATCGCCCGAGGAGATGCAGCGTCAGCGGTGAGTGGCGCAAGAATGGCATTTTTGGATTCGCCGTTGTTTTCAGTGAGCCATCTGTGCTGACGTTTGCACGGACAGGCGCGAGCAAGAGCAGGCCAAGAACTCGATGCTGGCCTCTATTATGGACCCCTCGGCTCGCTCTCGATGTGCGAAACCTGCGCTTCTCCTGCTCCCTCTGCGCCCGCCGCTCCCTCCTCTCACTTCCAGCGCTCATCTTGTGTTGTGCATCTTCTGACTTGTCTTGTAGTGGCGAGCTTGCGTGCCGTCAAGCCTGAGAATGCCGCCATGGTGGAAAACTATCTCATTCAAGCAGCACAGCGTGGTCAACTCCACGGCAAAGTAAGCGAAAGGGCGGGCTTCAAGTGCCCTCTCTCCTTTGCATGCGCTGCCCCGTCGTCCACCTCCCACACCCTTCATACCTGACCGATCTGCTTGCACAATACTTTAGGTGGGAGAGGAAGACCTCAAGCACATTTTGGCACAGGTAGCCGAGCGAACCGCTGCCAAAACCACCATTAGCGTACGTCCCAGTTTTATTTGTTGACACGCTTGCTCCACCCCTGCTGTCTTTTGTGGCTTGCTCCAACACACGGGGTCTGCGGGCGTTGACGCGCTTCCTTCTTCCAGTGATGCTGCTTTGTGATGGATGTCAAAGTTCTCATTGCTCTGCTCATCTTTTTCCTTTATTTTGTCCCAGTTTAACCGTCGGCAGCTCGCGGGGTTTGAAGACGACGATCAAGACTATGGTCGAGGCCTGCGTCGTGGTGACGATTCTGACTCGGATTCAGACTGAAAGCACCTCTTGTTCTTCTTCTGCCTGACCGGCCCTGATTTCTGTGCATCTGGTCCAGGGCGGCGCAAAGAACCCAAAGTTGGCTCCTGGCCACCACTGGGTTGCGTGTCACTCGAGAGCGGCATTTTTTGTGTCATGGGTGCCGTTTTCTAATCCCGTTGGGTTTCGCTCCATGTTCCGAAATTCCAACCTTTTCAACACAACTTGCCGAGAGAGCGATGGGGTCTTTGTCAACCAATTGGTCATGGAAGAGGCATCAAAACTCAATTAAGCCGGTGCAAGACAAATTCGGTAAAATAGAACGTAGGCAGTAGCTTGGTGTTGCTGATGGGGAATTGACACCATTTGCTCAAAGGCATATTGTGATGCATACTCCACCATTTCATCATCAAAGCGCACCCATTCCATGTCGGCAGGAATGGCGTTGAGTTCGGCCTGCTCCAGCACGGCCGCCTCATTCAGCGGCGACGATGGCAACGATGGCAGAGGTGTCACAGCGTCTTGTATCCGCGCTGGTGAGGCACGATTTGAACAATCTAGGTCCATACCCAACTCGGTATCTTTCAACTCGCAATCACTCCCATTGTTGCCACTCGTGCTATCCTCGTCTCCATCCGGACTGTTACATTGCAGGGTGGTGGCCGATGTTGGTGTCAAAGGCAGCTCTGCCGCTGGCGCGCATGGCGTAAGGGCGGCTTGTTGCGCCAGACCCCCTTGGATCGTCCTGTCATGTGCTTGCCAAGCATCAATGGGATTGCCGCCGCCCAAAAGACCGGGACGCGCAGCGTACGCCGGCTTCAGCTTTTGGGCAGAAGCCCCTCGGGACAGGGCAACCCCAGTCCTGTCCTCCATCTCAGCTGCTGCTTGCTGCGCTGCTTGATGACGCAGCAGTGCCTCACAAGACCAGCCTTGCGTCGCATGCTGCAGCTCTGCACGCCGAACCATGGCAAAATAATGTCCAGAGTAGGCTGTTTGCCCCCGATGAAAGATGGCGCTACATAATCGATAGCGGTGACGGGGTTGTTCTGTTGCTGCCTGGCCACGCATGGGGCCCACGGGATGGCGCCCGTGCCCTCGCATAAAGTCATCCATGGCTATTTGTAAGGGCACATGGATAGCTGTCTTTTTCTGCAATCAGCGGTGCAGACACATGTGCCACCTGAACGTGAGAGGCCCTCAGCAAGCAAGTGTATCGAGCGAGAGAGCGGGAGAAGGAGCGGAAGGCACAAAATGGGGGGCAGCGTGAGACAACGACTTGCCTTGGCACCAAGGTGATCGGAGCGATTGAGGTGAAGGGTGAGCACAGGGGGCAAGTCGGCCACGCTCATCTCTCGCGTTGCCTCTTGTTTGGCTTGGCATTGCTCGCAAAAGATCTTGTCCGCCCCCACCATGCGCTCCCGCTTTCCAAACAGCTGCGCCAAACAAGCCTTGAGTGTTTGCGGCTCAGAGGGGACCGGAATTGAAATGTCATGAAAAGCCTCGCGTCGATCCGAGCGGGCGTCACAGGTAAGGCAACGGGTGGTGTACAACATGTGGCCTTCAAAGAGGCTGCCAGTGAAGGGTATCTTGGGTTCGGCGCTCGAGTCTGGCGGGCTGCTCGCTTGGTGAGCAATTGGTGCCGTCATCGGTCCATCCACTTGAACAATGTTGTCGTCCAAGCTGCCACTGGCATCGGCCACGAGTATGGCATTTTCAACGCTTGACGAAAGCTCTCGTTGCTGAGATATTGAGCCTTCATCCCGGCCCGTGCTCTCTGCACTTGAGATGCGGATCGCAAAATCTGTCTTGTCTGCTGCATCGCTTCTTGAAGTGTCGCTACCGTCATTGTCAACGACCCCATTGCTACTTGCATCGCCGCCAGCTTCATCTCCGTTGTTACCTTCGTCTTCCTCGTCGTCATCTTCGTTGGCATCTTCATCGTCATCAATCACCACAGTACTGGCGGTTGCAGCGCCATACTCGTGTTCCGGTGCCAGGGCGCTTGCCTGTAAATCAATATCTGGGAGACTGTTTGATCTCGACCCGGAACCTGAATCAGAAGGCGTTGGAGCGTTTTCTGTCTCCATCTACAACACGGTATCCCATGAGAACTCTGGTGACAAGGCCAGAGCTGATAAAAGTCTCAGATAGGCCCATTTGCGAGGCAGTCAGGGCACGGCTTCAAGAGACACCGCGAAAGCAAAAAAAAAAAAAAAAGAAACAAAAAAACAAAAAAAAGCAAACAAACACCATGACATCCAAAAACATTACCTTCTGCACTTGAAGCCAATTATTGTGATATTCATCCTGAGAATCGCCAAATGGCCCAGATTCTAGCATGTCAAGGTCTGCCTGGTCCACGAACGACAGAGATGCAGATGCATCCGTCAGTTCTGGTTCATGATCCAACTCGACGGGACGGCCTAAACTGGACGATGGAAGGAGAGGCAGGCTGGCGCGGCGCAGAGCAGTTGGAGCTTCTGCTTGCTGTCCATCCGCAGAGCTGGGCACGGAGGCAGGCTGAAGCGCTGCCTCTTGAGCTTCTTGCAAGTGGTTTAATAAAAACCGCAAGCACTCTTGAGCGTCTTGTTGCATGAAAGAGTCAAAGAGCGCATTGGCCACGCTAGTGATTGATCAAAAATGAAAAGTCAATGAGCAATTTATCGCGGTGAGTCTGCTGCTACAAAACGTCAGATGGGATTTTTTTTTTGGGGGGGGGGGGGGGGGGGGATATCTCCCTCTTGCGCGCCAATCGGACCACCATCGGTTGGTCCTCCCCATGCTTGCCATGCAAGGATCGACACTTTGATGTTAGCTCTGGACGTTAGCCCTGACCACGGACATGCTTTTGATAGAGTCTGCACGAGGCCCTCCCATGGTGGCGAAGGCGCGGCGGCGCGGGTTTGACCGCGGCTCGCCGCGACGCAACATTGAAACTGTGTGCGGGCCAACCGTCTTTTGGTGGTTCTTTCCCGTTCTTAGCAGGTACCATCATTTGTGCTGCTACTAGGCTCTCTGTTGAATATTTACATGTTAGTTCAACCGACCTGTACTCAGCTGA